GGGGGGGGGGGGGGGGGGGAAGTACAGCTTGGGGTTTTATGGGTTTTTAAAAAGTGAACTAGTGTTTTAAACCTAGTTTCAAATTAGTTTTAAAACTAGTTTCTACCAAGACCATGCTCTGCACCAGCAGTGCCATTTGTGTAAGCCAGTCCTGCTGGAGACCCAACCATCAGCACATATCCAAAGCCCTGCCTGTGGGTCCCCAGATTAACCTGGGACTGAAGTGCTATCAGTGATGTAGGGAAAGCTACCCCATGTTCTAAAGGGAAGTCTCCAAATGCTTTGATAAAAGCAACTTAGTTTATGAAAAAAACCTCAGAGGTTGATAATCACACCCCTATTACCCAGCTTTGTAAGAGACTGCTATCTACCATATGCACAGAAGCACTCCTGCTAGTACTTCATTAGAACAAAGTGCCATAATGACTTCTGATCTCTTCCCAAGAACTGAACTGTTTTATCCATAGAATGAAGAAAATATAATCAGTACTTAATGTATTTCAGTGGCAATAATCAAAACTGCATAAACTACAGACCAGAACCATCATAATTGGTCCTGTTGTACTTTCACATGCAAAAAAAAGGACCTGGGCAGACATACAGACCAGTTCAGTGTTTAAAAAAAACAAAACCAGGTACTATACTTTCCTTGACTCAAGTTTAGAAGAATCATTACATCTAATCTGATACATGAGCCTAGACACCTTCTTTCCCAAGCAAGGTGACTTTTGCTGAAACAAGTGCTTTTCCCTCTCCCTGGCATTAGTCACCATTTAGTATTCCAACCTAGTGCTGCTAGTGCTTTTCAATGTTTCACTTTGTTTCAGTTCTAGTTTAACATCAACACTTAAAACCTCATACTTTACTGTATTCACGTAAAAAGATTAAATTAATAAAATTCAGTTCAGTAGCTGAGAGAATTTTTAACATTAAGTTTTGTCTGCTGACAGAACAACCTGAAGCACTTTTTTCCAAAAGTAACTTTCATCCAGGAACACCAAAGAGTTATATCTTTAAGCTACAAAGATGTCTCTTGCTGTCTCTTTATATCACTTAACTAGTTCTTAGGGAAGTAAACAAAACTGCCCAAAGCAGCAAAACAAGTGTTTTATAAGCTCCACTGCAACCAACAGCATCTGTACCTGCTTAAATATTATACCTAACTACAAGCTGCTCTAATAGTCTGCTCAATCAAAATGTTACCGATGCCCTTGAGGCAAGATATGCCACATGCCTGTGGATCCTGCGATCACCCTCAATAATGCCTCTCACGTGTATCCCAGCATTATGGCAGTGTACAAAGCGGCAGAAGGCTGTAACTTGTTTCTACACTAACACACAAACAACTTTATATTGTAGTTCATACAAAGGTAGAAATACCAAAGCAAGTGATTCCACAGACAGTTTCATCCAGAACTACACAGGTCTGAAGGCTCAGTGCTCTTACAAAATATCGACAGAAAAATGATGCCCAAATGTAGCAAAAATCTCTGAATAGTTTTATTTTTAGAAGTTAAATCACATGTAAAAGGGCATAGTACAATGGAATGTGAATACCAGAGTTAAGACCTTAAGCTTTGAAGGAGAGCCAAGGCGCTCAAGGATTACACAGAAGAACTACAACACACAGGAGACAGTCACAAGGTTTAAGCCGTCCAGCACAGAGCACTATATGTTAAAGAAGCAATGCTATCATATCTTTGTTTTATCAGATAGAAATGATGAGTAAACAACATTTTTAATTCAGAGCAGACAAGCAACAAACTGAGCAAAAGCTTGACACAACACACAGCATATGATATAAACTAAGAATCTTCATATGGGTGCAGCATACAGCAATCTGCCTTACAGTAAAGAGAGCACAGATGCAAGCAGAAAACAGTACTGTGAAAATCCTCCTCGTGTTACCTCACCTACCCTTTTCAATAGCTACTGCTCCATCTGCCGTTTCTATACTGAACAGCATGTGAGGGAAAAAAAGCTCTGCCTAGTGGCACAGATGAATTTGTAGTTTGGTATCGACTTTGGGTCCACTAAAGTTTGGAAGTCATAGCTATTGACCACTCGGATTCTGACGCCACCATTCACATATAAAAAAAAAAAAAAAAACCAACAAAAAAAACCAAACAGTAAAAAACCCCATGCTGCTCACCTTCCACCTGACCAGTCTGTGGCTGCGTTCCAGGGTAGGGCGGCTGCTGTGCCTGGACACCAGGGGGGTGGGCTGCAGAAGCAGAGGAAGCGATGCTGTCCGGTGTTCCCGATCGCTCTTCCGCAGGGGCACTGGGTGGTCCTAGAGGAGCAAGAACAAGATACAGTATTTCAACTGAACAGAGAATTTGAATAAAAAATAAAAAAGAAAAGAAGTCTAACAAGACCATTCCCTTGCAAAGTTTTTCATATTTTTTCCAAGCTTTCCATAGATTTACATCTGAGAGTATCACACCTGAGTGAAAATAAAATATATTTCCACATCTAAACTCTTTCAAAATATTTTGGGGGGATTTTTCCACCTGTCTCTAGGTCACTCAGATTTCATCCTTCCAAGGAGCCTGACCCACCTGTGGGATAAATCACTCCGTAACAGCATGTTTTTACCACAGCTTCAAGCACTAACCTTACACACATACACTGATGGCTTGCTACATTTGGACAGAACATGCACCTACGTGTTCTCTCATCTGGAGCAAAGGTGAAAGGCTGCATGAAACTGTTCAAGCACACCAGTGTTTTACTGTGGCTCACATGTGCTCAGGCAACAAAGTGTTTCACCAACAGTCATACAGCTAGCACCCAAAGAAACTGTGGGGATGAAGAATTCAGATTTTCTCTATATTTCTTAGAATTTCTGAAATATGCAGGTGAACAGGTATAATATACTACAGTTAAATGCAAAATATTTTGTTAGAAACAAGGAGGCTGAAACCTGGATCTTTCCAGCTCTTAGCTCTCTGAATGCTACCTATGAGACACTACTAGCAAATACATGCTTAAAGTTAAGCACAAGTATTAGAAATGTTGCAAATTCACTTTCAATTTTAAAGAACCTTACATTTACACAATATAAATGTGGATCCAACGAGCCCTTAATTGTATTTTCACCTTACCCTTATTGGGGGAAAATGAATCGTCTGCCTACTTCTGGTTTTGCCTTCATAGACATAGCTGCAGGATTACAGCTTAAGAAATGGGATTTCTTATATCCTGTTTAAATGGTCCTCTGTGAAGCTCTTTGTACATTCAAAGCATGGTCAAGTCACTTCACTCTACCAGAATAATTATGGAGACACATTAACATTGAAGCATGGCTGATGCTATGATCAAAGCACTGACCAGCACTGAGGCTTTGTACCAAGGGACAAAACTACTCCTTCCAAACTGAGCTCCAATTTTCCGCTAGCTGTACTTCCCACTCTATCACTTCATTGCTCAGAGACAGCCCACTGTAAGTTTTGGAGTACTACCAAACCTTTTTCTGGTTGGGGAAATAACCATGCCATGACAATACTTAAAATGTGCCATAAAGGAAAAGATCACTCAGTAGGTCTGATCCCCAAAGCAGTGCCCCAAGATCACCACTCTGTCTGTGGGTATAACCATGGGTCCTGCACAGTCGCAATCACGCAGTGCTGATCTATTCCTACCACTCCCCATTTCTGCCAAGGCAGCCATACTTGTAGAAACAAGCTCCAGGTGCTATTAGCTTGCCCATCTGTCTCATTACTTCACACATCATATAAAATTTACTCGCTCTAGAGTTGTGAGTACACAGCAAATCCTGTTAGCTAAGAGCAGGTTTATTTTCAGCTTTCAATGCTACATTAAACTTTGCCAGAGCCATGCAGATTCTGTACAAAATCACTTCTGTATATTCTGCATCACAGTCTCTATTACATTCTATGTTGCTTTTCTAATTTCAGTTATCCTATCTTAAGTTGACTGCAGTTTAGTACAACCAGTTTTTATATGTTTAGCATTCTACTACCAAGTAGGGCCAACAGTCATGCAAGCTCCTCTTCAAGAACAAATATAATTCAGACAAGTTTGCTATTCCTTTCTGTTAACAGTAAAAAAGTTGACACTATTTACTTTTGAAATCAAACAGGGGAAAGGCAGGGTTGTACAAAACATTCTGACTGACCCTAACGGCAGAAGTACAAACCAAGAACATGAAATGCAAGATCAAACTCCAAGGCAGAGCAGTGGATACTGTTTTTCTATCCCTGGCAAATACCAGTTACTCTACACAACAGCTTTAAAGAATTCAAATTTTAAAAATTAAGTCCTTTTTCTACTCCAAACTAAAACACAGTGCTAAAACCAATAACAACATTTCGACATTTTCTATACAAAAGTTACCAAACACAGTGACAACACCTTAACATACCAAGTTTTAGAATACTGAAAAGAAATAGCGAATACAGAACACTGCTTAATACACCAAAAATACAGATGTTTTGTTACAAATCAAGATTTGAGTCATTGATTATGAACAGGGTTTGCTTTCCTTTTCCTAAGATGTATTCTTACCTGACACCTGATCATCTGTCAATCCAAATGCTGACATGACATTCTTGCTGATTTCATCCTGGTTCTTCAGCGGATCAAAGGCAGACATGCTTGCTGCTATAACTTGAGTGGATTGCTTAACATTAGAGTCAGCAGCAGCAGGCTTTTCCTCCCTACCATCTACACCATCTACAAAAAAAAAAGCACCCAGTTATTAATTCTTGAGACCTGAAACACTATGACACACATATATTGTACTACAGCAATCTCAAAATTGCATAGTTGTGGGAGGTTTTTAATTTTTTAACTGTTGAAATACTTATGTTAGGGTAACAGTGATGAATCAGTGATGTATCTGAAACTGTGATGAATCACAAAGCTGTAGCTTCATTGCACAGTTACTTAAAAATACAACACCACTGCGGAGTATCAGTATCGTATGTCACTTAAATTCAAAGGTAAAAAGTTCCTGCTTCAAACAAACTGTTCTGGTATGACTTGCCTACAGAGAATTCAAAATTAAGAAAACTTACAGGATAGGTTTCAGCTGATTATAGTGTTTTATAAACTGCAGTTTTTGTTTTGTTCTATCCCCTTCTCCCGGAATTCTTCCCAAGCTGACAGGTGGAGTTCATCTCTTTGTAATTATATCAGTGACACTGCATGACTCAGCAACCCCTTACCTACTAGTGCTACATTTTCTCTCAAAAACAAATGCAGATAGTGTTTAGACTGGCTGGTTTTGTTTACACTCAAAGATCATCACCTTAACCTTCCAGATGGTTTATAACCAGAATCCACAGTATTCCACTGAAATTAGTAATTTCTTATATTGCAGGAACAGGATCTTGGTTTTGTTTTAAAAAAATCCTATCAACTGTCAAAGTGTAAAATACAAAAGCAGTGTTTCCTAAAAGAAAGGCTGGAGTTCTTGGTTTGCCTCTTTACTCAGAGCACTGTACTCCATGACTTGGTGGCATTACCCTTCTGTGTCCAGCTTACCTACAATCTGTAGTTAAGCACAGAGGTATAGTTGTTACAGTACAACAGCACTAAGCTGGGAGATCAATGCCTCAAAACTGGTAAAATAAGACTTCCTTCATTGTTTTGCCATACCCCAATAACCTTTCCCACCCCTACCTGCACCCTTGTGCTGCTTACCCTGAGGCAGCTCTGATGCTGGTCTGAGCTCAAAATGTGGGGATTCAATTTCCTAACCTGGCAAAAAAAGTGGATATAATTTGTGCTGAATTTGCTTTTTACTGTTTTAGTGAATCAAGCTTGCTTTGCAACATGACAAGATAAGCACCAGAGCTAGCCCAAAGTAAGCAGTGGGAGTGCTCAGCTGGGAGCAGGAACTCTTCAGCAACAACAAACTATTAATTCAGCTCAAAGCCCTCTCAAAATGTTGTCGTGATTCACAAGTGTTAGTTACAGCATTTTCATACATTGCAACAGAAACTCAGACACTGAAGTTTTATGCCTAAATTAACTTAGTATTTTACTCCAGATAATCTGAATAAAAATTCTGCCTCTAAAATAAGTGAAGCATTAAAAACTAAGTTCTGAACCACTAAACAACAGTTAAGAATGATCACAACCAGTATTCATGCCTCCATTTTTAACTTTGTTAAACAGCACTGAACTCTGCAAATCAAACCAAACAATTCTTTGGCAGGCTGCCTACCACTTTCAGGAAGATTAGTGGAAAGCCCTGGTTCAGCTGGTGGTTCTAAACAGTCCAGTAAACGATTGACTTTATTGCGAAGTTCTATCAGCTCTCGACGCAGGTATTTCACCTGATTAGATTCTAGCGGTCTTGGTTGTCCATTCACTGCAAAACAGCAATTAGATAAATTTAAGACTGTAGTAACATTTTGACATCCAGTTTAAAATCAGAAAAAAAAAAATCCCAACTTTTACTTGCTTGTAACATCACCATCCTCTGCAGAGTTTAAAGCAACAAAGTTTAGTCAACACAGACTGAACTCATTCTAGAACTTTCTGTTCCTTTAATACAATCTCAGTTCAGCATAATCCACAGTACCAGAACTGCAGAGTAAAGTCTGCAGTAACTTTCTGCATTGTTTACTCATTTCCATGAACATACCCTAACCAATACAGCTATCGCACTCGGCTGTGGAAGACTATTCCTTTAGAAAGTACCTTTAGAACTATGACAGCACACACAACACTGCTGCAGTGCATGAATAAGGTCAGTGTCCAAGTTAAAGGCTGCTTTTTATTCTTTGGAACCATGTGCTGATTTACAAATAGTAGCTTGAAAACAAAGAACTATTTTATAACAAAGGCCAAAGGATAAATGTTAAAATCTATTCAACTTCAAGCAATTAATGTTTTTAGCAGTGTCCTAGTAACACTGCAAGATCATCATCATGATAATTTTTTCATGCACCTGTGGAAAAAACCACAAATGCTAGAGAGTGGATGATAACATGGAAAATAACATTTAAAAAAACCCATTGACCAAATACTTTAAGCAATCTTATAAAAATAGATATCATCTATTAGTCCAGTATTTTCAGCTTACAGATTTCATCCTTCTGAGGTGACAAACTGAAAGTTTTTAGTACCTTCCCGTGAAGCCCACTGCCCGAATTTTAATAAACATTAAAATGAAGAAAAATAAAAACAATCTTCTATACTTACCAAACAATGTCAGCTTAAGTATCCTACTGCACTGAATTGCAAAGGAAAGATCCGAGCTATCAAAAATTGTTATAAGATCTCCATCTGAAAAGAACATGAAAAAGTAAAAGCCAAGCCTGTTAACTACTGAACTTCACACTAGGGCAGAAGTATTACTTCATTACTCAAAAAGAACTTTCCCTGTTTGATTCTGAAGTTACTGGGGAAAAAATTATTACAGTGCAAGAGTCAGCATGCAGGGAAATTATGCACAGACGGTCAGACAGAAGGAAGCCTTCTGACATTAGCCCTTTGAAAGTTCCACAGAGCTCATCATTCCTTTATGTTTACATACAGGACAAAACACTAGAGCTAAGAGTTCACGAAGTCCAACACCAGAAAGAACGATGATGCCGGTTAAAGTTACACGCCTGTTCCCAGTGGCTCCAAAACTGCAGTGTTCATGAACAGACAGGAGAGTCAAAATTGATGGCACAAGATAATCTCAATTCAATTTTTAAAAAACCAAAACATGCACATAAGGGAAAACTTTAAGTGACTACACCATTTTCTCAAGTTATATATACTGAGAACACTGAGGGGCATGACTGACTTTCAACAAGGGAATGATAATAAAGTCCCTGTGTAAAAGTGAGTAGTGAAAACATCTATCAACCTTAACACACAAACAGGAATGAAGACATGAAGATGTCAAAGTAGTCAGAAGAAAACTTTTCTCTCAAACCAGGAACCTGACACAAAGTCTCAACTCTTAGCCATTTATTTTTCTGTCAGATTTCAGAGGAACTCCCACCTAATGAATCCTAATGAATTTGCACATTGCCATCAGTCTCAGAAACTATATTAGAATCATATGAGATCCTTCATTCTTAAGATACAAAGGGCTATGCACAAAGCACTGAACACCTTCAATCCTATTAATACCCAAGAGATACCAAGTTCCCATTAAGTCTGGTCTCTCCCAGTTTTTAACTTGACAAGGTCAAAAGTCAAGACAATGCAAATTAACATCTTTGCTTACTCAACAAGATCACAGATAAAACAAGATTCTTTGGTAGGACAGATTTTCTGCTGTTTAATATATTCAACAGAATAGATTAAATGAACACAAATTGGGCAGTGTAAAGGCAAAGAGTGGGAATGTGTTATCAGGAAAACATGTGTACTGGCAGAGGGAAAGAGAAGGGATAGCAGGACCACCTCCTTCCAGAACTTTTCATCTCCTGGGAACTGAGATGAAACACTATCTAGTGAAGCTTCACCTTCAGAAGCAACAGCATTAGACAAATGATACACAGATTGGACAAAGCCAACTCCAGGCTAGGAATGCCCCTCCCTAAAACACCATTACAAGGAGGCTCTGCGGACAGACACAGAACCATTTTTAAGTACAGGTTACTGCCTAAAAATTGAGCTACTCCTTTTATGCACTGGTGACAAAGTTCCAACTGTATAAAAGTTATGGTTAAAATTTTCAAATAAATGAATGCTTCAGTATGAATAATCATAAAACACATGAAGGCAAGTTGAAAACAGCTCAAAATTTGAAGAAATACATATTCTAATGTTGTCATACCTGACTACAAGTCACACCACTGCAATGGAAGGTTTTCTTAGTATAGTACCGTTAATAACACCTAACAATGCCTGTCACTCTTCAGAGAAGTTGTTTTCTAACAAAATAAACAATAAATCTTACAAATAGTAACAAACTGATCACATATAAACTCATTTTCAAGTTTTCCTGAAAGAACTATTGTTGTCTCTGAAGATTTTTCTGTATCCTGTGTCCTGTTTCTACTTTCTCAAAAAACACTGGTTAATGGCTGTATCAGTCATGGATTCACTGAGACTAGAAAGTCTCCAAAACCCCACTAGGCAGCCTGCTCTAGTGACACACTACCCTCCAGGTGAAAACTCACACTCAACCCCTCAAGCTGCAGTTTATGATTGCTCCCATCTGGTGCTATCAAGAGTTTGGATTCCATGGTCTTTGCAACTCCCACTCTGTTAGCTGAAGCTGCTGTTAGCTCTGCCCTTGGCCTCCTCCGCATCACACTGAAGGAGCCCAGCTCCCTCAGGCGCTCCCTGCAGGCCCTGGGCCTCTCACCCTCCTCACCGCATCCTGCTGGACCCTCTCCAGCTTCTCCAAGTCTTCTTAGCCCAGAAGAGGAGCATGATGGTGTCTCTGTTTGCCATTATAATCTATAACAAGACTTACACAATCAGACTCTAATTGAGTAACTTTATGAGTTAAACAGTCCTTTCTCTTTGGCAGTAAAGCGAGGACAAGGGGGATTTCTCTCCAACTCATTCCTCCAGCTTTTCAGTATCCTTTCCTAAATGCTGATACCAAGAGTGGAGACATCACTGACTAGCACACCACTTTTGATTACATGCAATATGAATTAATAACCCATTACTGGCTCTGACACAAAGACATGCAACTTCTACTGCAAGGTAATGAAGAACAAGAATGAAAAGGCCAATCTCACTTCAGGCACTCTAGCTTTAAATTCAAGCCCAACTTCAAAAATTTGAAAAATTTAAAGTTTCTATAATTGGTTCCATAGGGGCTTTAGCATATATAACAATAATGCAGCATGCTTAAGATGCAGTTCTGCTCTTTGGTTCATATAAATGCACACTGGTTTGTTTGGGGATTTTTTTTTTCCCCCCAAACATTGTGTTTTACTACTTTTTAAAGAACCTTAAGCAGGACATAAAAATGATTTCACACCCAGTAGAGCTATTTCCTTAGTTCAGAAATTTGAAAGCTGCCAAGCTTGAATCAAAACCTAACTCCACAAGGCAGTAATCAAATTGAAACTTCTCTTCCCCAGTAATTAAAAGAAGCATCACATAACCTAAATAAACTTCAGAATATGCTTCTGACTTTCTTAGTCCACAAACCCAGAGACAGGACAATTTGGATTTAAAGCTTCCTAGTCTCTCCAAGTAACCATACAAGTTTGAAAAAAACAAAAATGTGTTAGATTCAAGAATCATGACAGTCTGATGAAGATACAAGGCCACAGTATTTTGCAGAAGTTTTAAGTCGAAAACCCCCTATCCAGGCCTCAAGATCACTAGCTTCATGTGTTACAGCAATAAGAAACAAAGACAGGAGGGCTAGATGAAGCTTTTTTTCTGAACACTCAGAGTGTGCACATGAATTCTGAGAAGACTCAGATTGAGGTTGTAGAAGTAGTGGAAATCCTTAGACCAACTTAAGATATCTCCTTATAACAGGTGAAGACAGGCATCCCTCCAGGTCTGGAGGAATAAAAAAACAAAACTGAAGTAGCTAAAATGTTTATATTCCAATGCTTCTAATGACTGAAATAGATTTAAAGAATCTTAGCTTATTGAAGCAAAGTCAATACCACAGTCCTCATATGACAATCAAACTGAAGCGTAGTTCTGCTAACTCAATCACTTGCAACTTCCTCTGATATTAATGACATTTAAATGTTCTTAGCAATGATGATCAGTTAGGATAACATATACTAAAATTTCACATATTAGTGGAGAAGTAGTACAAAGAAAGGTAAAATTTTAGGTAGGAGCTTGTGTTGTCACACATTTATTCACTCCTCACCTTCAAACCCACTTTATCACTGAAAACACAAAAAAAATGGTTAAATGAGTAAACAGAAGAGAAACCTGCAATAGCAAAAAAATGAACTTTCAGATAGCTGAAATTTCAGAAAAACTGGAGGAAATGTTCAGACAGCATAACCACAGGAGATACAGCTTCGACTGCCTGATTCAAATGATTTCACAAGAAATCACTTGCATTTGCCAAGGAATTTGGACAACTTTGAAGAGATGAATTTCACAGTTTCTATCCATAGATAAATCACATCAGAACAACAGTAGTAATTACATCTTACCTTCATCTTTATATTTTATTGTGACTTCATCATTGCTCAGAAGTTTTCCTCTAAAGACTCTTTGCATCATTAGCACCAATTCATCATAGGTGATATCTTCATTATGAATAGGGATTCTCCTAATATCTTCCCCAAGCTGAGCTTTGATGATCAGCTTCCCACTTAAGTCCAGCTGCCCATTCATGGTGGATTCCTTATGGCCTGTAGACCTGTTAGCAACAAAACATTTAGGAAACTAAACTGCTAGTTGTTTAAATGTATCTGATAACAGCTCTGAAGCTTTTCATCTTCGGAGAGCATTACTGTTAGGAAGCTCTCCAGAGAACCTCTCTCAGACACATTCTATGATCCACTAATTTCTCAAACAATAAAGTGCACGATACATTAACTGAGCTCACAGGCAAAGAAGTAGTCTGTAAGAACCGATGCTTCTAATTAAGTTAATCACAGTTCCCAGTGCTCAGAATTTAAAAGTAAAGATTTAAAAAAAAAACAGTCAAGACAGCATTTAAATATGTGTGACATTTAGAAATTTCAAACTTGGGTGGGTTTTTTGTAAGGTATCAGCTGTAAACTGCCATGGAAAAAATTCCCTAGGATTTGCTTTTGAGATACATATATACATCTCAGGGAAGGTGAAACTGCAGCAAAAGCTGTCAGCCTTACAATATTATATTGGTTACATTATCATCCTATTAGATCATTTTAACATCCCCCATAATTATGATAAGCTGCAAAGGGCTTTTTTTTTTTCCATAACAAAGTATCTTTCTTCAAAAATTATCAGTGGTAGGGTGGCTTTACTAAGGGAATCAAGTTGAATCATGCATTATTTAATAAACAAATAGAGCTGAACGTTGGTTTTATTATATGCATGATCAGAACACATTGAGGGTTCCTTTCCAAAAAGGAAGATAAAATTTTTCCTTTTTTTGAAATTCTGAGATGTTTTAACCAAGACTTTAAATTTTTTAAAGCTGCTGAACAGACCACACATTAGCTATTCATTAGGCTCCGAGCCACAAATTTGTCATGCAATCTACCTGTTCAGAACAGTCAGTTCTTGGTGCTTTAAGAGGTGGACAACTGCTCCAACTGAAAAGGAAGTGCAACAAAGCCATCTCGTGCCCAAGCAGCACACATATACTTTAGAGTTCTATCCTTAATGCTTTATGTAAGACAATTTAAAAATAATTACTTTGTAGGAGGCATCGCTCATTAAAAAACACAAAGACCTTATGTTTCAAAGAAAAACAGAAACTACAGAGAAATTACTGAGCAGAGAAATCAGAAAAAAAAAAAAAAGATATTTTGATAGGTAGTATAGGTAGTCAAATGTCGTCTTCTCTCTTCTCTGTGTTGGACAGGGCCAAAACAATAAATGTGGAATGAGGAGCAATTAAAGAAGCTGTTAACATCTGAAGTACAAATACTAGAGATATTAAAAGTAAGCAGCCCTACACCTCAAAATCAACATTTCCAAAGCCATGTGCAGGGAAGCATGTGTTCTCTTGTGCAAAAAGAATTCTTGGTAGAGATATGTAGGTATTTCTCCTTTACCTTTAAGGATGTTATACCACAGCACTTTGAGAAAACTGAATTTTGGTTTGGTCAGTCTATTTTTTTAAGTACTATATGGAAAATTACTCCTCTCCTACCAGAGGAACAAGACACTGAGCTAAAGCCTTTAATACATCATACCTTGATGCACCTACACATACTTAACTCTAGCGTTTCAATGGCAATGTTTTACATTAAAGAGATTACAATTCAATTTCTGCGGTTTTTTGGTAATTAAAATAAAGAAAATACTTCATGCAAATCCCTTTGTTTGGCCCAACGACATCCAGAAGAAAGAGACAAGCAACTATTGAACAAAACTTAGTTTTGTAATCAGACCTAACAGGAGGTAGGTGGATACAGTCTAATTGCAGAGAAAAAGGACTTGCAATTAACAGTCAGGCTGCTGCTGAGACACTATGACCAAACGGTGAAGTTTTCAATATCGCTAATCCTCAATAATGCATTATTCATGTTCTGCAACATTTGACCGCAGGCACATCAAACTCAGTCTAATTAACACTAAGTTGGTTGTAAAAGCATAGGGTTTTCAAGTTTGGTTTTTTTTGTTTTGTTTTTTAAATTTAAAGCCTTAAAAAAATAAAACAGCATCCATCCACAGGTTTTCTTTCACCTCCTTTTCAAAAACATACATTTATCATTACCTTGTCTGTCTTACTGATGCTGGTTTATTGGACAGATTTCCCACCTCACTTCAGGACAGAGTTAGGATAAGCCGCCATGCACGATTAGTGCCAGAAAAGAGGAAGCTGCATCAGAAAAAAAAACCAAAAAAACAAGAAATATTTATTGACAGTGACACTTCCTTAGAATTACACACTTCACATCATTCTTTCACTTTAGAACATCAAAACAAATACACCCAGCTAAAAAAGTCACCATTTAATCTATAATGTAACAGACTTAAATTTTTGAGTATTGTAGTGTTTGAAGTTCACCTAAACCAGATCTAACAAGTGCTTTAATTTCATAGTAGAAGGAGTTTATATTTTTTTTTAATTTTGTAACTGCACGTAGGAATTCCTAACACTAATGTGTTCCTTTCCAGGCCAGTGATCTTCCTCAACAGTCTCAAAATATTCATTTATATGGCCTCCATCTTAAAACCCCAGGTTAAGTTAAAGAAAATAAACTTTGATTGTTTTAGTAGTACAAAAAAACCTAGAAGTCCATTTCTTAGCTTAAGGCTGAAGCCCCTGTGGCATTAAAAAGTGTGCTTTCGAGGACTGACTGCACAGTATTAGGACAGGCTATCAAGAAGAAAGCAGCAGTAAAGCCATTTTACCACAGGAAGAAACAGAAAACTGTGCAAGAAGGAAATTAAGTCAGAAATATACAATCACTTAAAAATATGATTTGTCCACAATTCAGCTTAAGGTTGGGCTTTTTCTGCTGGAAAGCCTAGGTGACAAGCTGTGTGAAGTTCATTCAGTCCACCTGTTTAATTACACAAGTGCTTAACGCCCAGAGGTACAAGACAACGATTTAGTATACAGACCAGTCAATGGAGAACATAACTGCACTCCTCCCTCCCCCCCACCGATGGGTGCACCCTACTCAGCACTCTTGTCTCTCTCTCTCACACACAGTTCATCTCAAACATCCATGTTCTGATTTTTGGATGATTCACTGCTAACCAGAAAGAGAAAGTAGGTTCCTCTCATCCACATAAAACAGGTCTTCCTAGCTCTTTCCACTCAACTGGAAGTGGAATGGCCATTCATAACACATACAGGACAGAAACAGAGAGCAAGCAAACCCCAGGGAATGGACAAAGCCCCTCTCTGGTTCCTCTAGGCCAGCAGCTGCTCCCCTCAGCCTGGGTACAAAGTGTTCACCTTTAAACAGGGCTGTACTCACTCCTGACAGGAAGAGGTAAGACTGTTGTGACATACTAAGCAGGTGAACAGGAAGAGACTACATTTCTGATTTCTCACTCACATTTGAAGAAGTAACACATGAAGACAGTGCCCCTTCCACACCAACCTTGCTACAGCTCCAGGTAAAATTTACTGCAATAGACAAACAGGGGATATGGATAATACATCTAAGAGTAGTTTAACTTCAAGAGTTCATTTAGCTACCATCTCATGTCATTAAACATTAGAGCTGGGCACTGGTTTTGCTTCTTTAGCATTACAACCTGAGCTACTTAGAAACTGACAACAGTAAGAATCCAACCTCATCTGTAATTCCTGAAGATACACATTTTTGTGGGCACACCTGAGCTCCTGTGGCCTTTCAATAAATTGAAAGCATCATTTATATCTTTGCACAAGGAAACCAGCTACTGTAATGTACTAACAGAACTAAAATGTCTTATTTACCACTATCAATCACAAAAGTCTGCTGCGTGTCTATCGATGATTACAAAAAGGTAACAAGAAAGCATCTAAATACACTTTCTGTCCAACTGTTCTCCATTCTGCTTGAAGGTGTCCAGGTTTTAAGAGAGAGATTCTAAATACCACAACTGCTTGCAACTGTTACAGAAAACTATGTGAAATGTATTGATTGTTGAATTACACAGCATTCAAGCTTTTCTTCCCTCACTGTGACATAGCTGAATGGATGACTCCCTTGAGAGAGGTTTTCAGAAAAGACATCCAGAATGAACACTGATGAGCTTTTTAACAGAACCAATCACAGTGTCTACTTTGTCGAGGGAAGAAAAACAACCAAACGAAAAAGCATTACTGTCTTCCTGTTTCAGAAAGACTTTTTTTCATAAAAAATCGCACTGATATCTTTCTAACCTTCTTGGTGTACAACATGCATTTTGGAGGCACAGATATTTTTCCTCACTTCTTGGCTACCTTTCTATTCACATCATACACCAACCTACACGGTGCATGTGGACAGCAACTGTCCAATCTAAGCCAGTCACTTCAGGATCCCTCCTAAAGCCATGATGTCATAACCATGTTGGATTTCACTATCCTTTTTGCATTGAAGTAGAGAAAACCAGCCTTGCCTAAGCATGGGAAGGACAGGCATTCCTGCTTCGCTTTTTCCTCTGTTAAAAGAGAGACAAAGCACAGGGTGAAGCGTACAGAAACAGGGCCCAGCAGCACTGCCTCCCAAAACCCACTCGACGGGGCCATGAGAGTTTTCCCAAGACAGCTGTGAGGTGAGGAGGGGAGAAGTAGAAAGGAGAAGAGCTCACCCAATGGGGTGCAGAAATCACAGCCATGCCCTGCCGGGAAATGAGGAGTCTGCAGTTCTTCTGGCTCCCAAGGGGAAAGAGGCTTGGTGAGCAAGGGAACACCCCCCCTTGCGGAGGCAGGGAGGCTTCTGCTAGCCCTCAATCCCGATTTCCCAGGCCGAAGGGCGGTTTCAGCCTTCCCCAGGCGCGGCCGAGGGGATGCAAGGGGTCTCCCAGCCTCTCCGCCAGGGGCCGCGTCGCCCCTGGAAGCGGGGAAAGGACGGGGGACAGGGCTCGGTCACCCCCAGCCCGCAGC